TGGGCATATTTTTTTTTTTTAATTCTGTTGCAAACTTGTTTGACAAATCCAGTAATTTTCAATTCACATCAACATGATCAAATGACACATGTTGAAATGGAGAAGAGATTTTTTTTTCACAGGGATACCGGTATTATTAAAGTGGAGAACAAACACTATTGAAATGGAAAATAAGTGGCCCCATTCAAGGCTAACTTCTACACACACTCCTATGCCATTTGAATTAGAAAAGAAAAAACAAGTTGTAGATACTTTAGCCGGTACCTGGAGAGCAGTCCACCATGGCCGAGTAAACAATGGAGTTACAAATGCTAGGTAGGGATTTTAATTCCAAGGGTTCGTCACTTTTATTGAGTTGCCCTTATATCCAGGCTTGATCCCATTATCAGCTGGGCAGAAAATGAAAAGCTGCTTTTTCCTGAGTTGCATTGTCAACACTTTTATGTCCGAAAATGAATGAAAAATTGTCCAGGTCTTTCATCTTCTTGAGAGCAGGGAGCTCCTTTGAATTTCCGGATGAGAGAAAAGGCATTGATGGGATGAGAGCAGACTCGTTACATTCAGGATATGAAATGGAAAGATCTATAGATACAGAGGAAGCAGTGGAAAGGGTATCACAAAGATTTAGTCGTTGTGGGATTTTGTTTTGTAGTATGAGAGAGTTTTAAGTTACACTAAAGATATTGTCTAAGATTTGCTGTAACTGCCACAAGTTTTCTAAAGAAAAAAGAAAAAAGGTGCTTGCCTTGAAGCATGATCACTGCTTGAATGCAAAGGGTGCGCCAAATATTCAGACTGTAAGTCTGAACTTACCACATTACTTATACATTGTAGTCTTGTCACCTTTATATAATGCTGTGCTGTCAGCCTTGCTGTGTAGTTGTCACAAAAGAATTTCAGGTAACAGGGTAAGCTCTGTGTCTGCAAAATGTCCACATTGTACGAATTTGTCAAGTACGCCTGCATTGACCAAAAATAAACCTGTTTTGTTTGACAAAGAAGCTTTCAATTACGAGTAAAATAAGGAAAAGAAAAGAAAATTGCCAAAAATTGAAGCAGTTGTTGAAATTTCAATTTTTTCTGTGTGCCGAATCTTAATTAACATGCTGTAAATGGGTAACAAGGAGCTTCTGTGTACGATCATAATAAATGAAAGGGCTTCATAGTTGTATTAACAAAATGTGGGTTCTTGTCATAACAGAATTTTGAATTAAGGGCATTTAGCACTAGTGTCTATGGGAATATTTTTGAAGGGTTGCACCCTATAGAGAATAAAAATGGCTGCGCCGCGCATGCGCTGTACTTCAAAATTCTGTTATGACAAGAACCCACATGTTGTTAATTTCTCCCATTTTTTTTTTTTTACATGCACAAGCCTTGGCTGTATTTGCATCGTTGTATTGTCGGCTCCTATCCCTTGAAGTTGCGAATAAGTTGAAGGCTGCGACTTATAACGAGTCAGTGCCAGGGATAAGGTGTGAATTATTCAGTCCTTACGATGGCCATTATGCACCGTATATGTGTGAAAGTCATTTATTTATTGTTTTCTCTCTCTGCGTCTACTGTCTTGGGATCCCAGTTGGGCCCGTGTTCTGCATTGCCTCCGGCATGCTGATTGATGTTGCTATTTTTGCATTATTTAACAACTTCTGTAAAAGGAAAGAACGCACTCATGTGTTTTCAAAAACAAATGCCATGCATAACACCTCGTGCATCTTGCCTGATGCATTGAAGGTTGTTTTCGAGATCCAATTTTTTTATGTTTATTTAATTTTTTTAGCCGTTTTCCATCAAAAGTTGGAGTATGAGTAATAATTTGCACAAGAAGCCCTTATATTAATTAATGTATAAATTTAATGTGTTATTATATGAGTACATGTACATACATGTAGTACATGTGCGATGTACATTTACAATATATTGGGGCAATTCCGTGAGAGTGTGGACATAGCTGAAAAAAAGAAAGTTTATGAAATCTTTAAAAAAAATAGTCACCATGTAGCCCCAAATTTGGTATCAAATGGAAGGGGACAACAAGACCTTTCATTTCAATTGTTGTTTAGTTTAAAGTTTACTTTTTTCTTCAAATCTAAAAAACAAAAAACTTTTTTGTCCCCAAAAAATTTAAAGTCTGACAGGTTGCGGTTTATATTCTGTTATCCGGGTGAAAATATGATGATGCATTGTTCACCTTTCAACATGGGACATAAATTCTTAAAGACTTGTGAAGGCTGGATAATCACCGGTGTGCCGAAGAAGCGAGAATTCTTGGCTTCTCCATAAATCATTCCCCGAATCTCACACCTCGCCTGATGCTTGCACCTAAGTGGACACGATCAAATGTCAGTGGTGTTATTGCCCTCATGTTTGCGTTGCGAATTAAAAGTGCAGTTCGGAGTGGCATCGCGAAGTAGCCATCCCTCGTGGAGTATTTGCATTGTATATGACTCCAGGGATACAGAGCATACCAATTGTGTCCAAATATTTTTTTCTTTTATGAGTCAGGCATGCAACTTTTCCTCAGATCTGCTGATTTCCTCGTTTTTTACTTCTCATGAATGCCATTACAAACTGAAAAATACTGTACAAAGTCTTGTGTGGTTTGGAATTTCCTCGTTTTTTCTAAATTCCCAGTTGCATGCCTGATGAGTTTAGCGATCTTCTGCCTGTCAATAAGATGTGCTATTTTTATGGCACATCGTCTGCACATCCTGATGTGGATGTACGTGTAGACTTATGATACATTTTTACATGCGAGTCATAAGTACTGTACTTATACGAATTTAAAGAATTACCTGTACATGCTGTATGCCTTTTTTTGGGCAGGGAACATTTATACTTTTTCTTTAATATACACATTTATGTGTTCACCAACAAGTTCATTTTGGATACATGTTTATAAATTGGTGCATGTCACAAGACTTACGATGTACATACATGTGGGGTCCTTTACGGTACATTTTAATGTACACGTACAGCTTTAAATTCTCATATAACTATGTGAAGGGACATGAACACATTACAGTACGTATTTCAAAGATGTCTGGACAAGTTGGAAAGAAATAGACACTGCCTTTTGAATCAAGAAAACAAGGTAAAAATTCCATATGGCTGATCCACATTATACAATACATGAACACATTTAATCAGATACTTTCAGAATAGACGTGCTAAACGTGTGCTACATGTAGACGTACTGTACATGGCTTCGCAAGACAAGTTTACAGCACGATGAGGCTAATGTGTAATATTAACTGCCAGGTGACGCGCATCTTCCCGCGCTTACTTGCTCCTCCTGCTCCCGGCATTGTGTCTCTTGAACTGCACCCGTCTGAGCTCATGGCTGGCAATCTCAACATCTTAATTGAAATGATAGATATCTGAGGCTGGCCAGTTTGTGCTTGAAGATCATGAAGCTAGTGTTCGCTGCCAATACATGTACCGGTACTGTCCCTTGATCTGTTGATTGAAATATATCTGCTCTGATTCTGGTTGTAATGTTGTTCATTGCTAATGTACTATGTTTACATTGTACAAAAATCCAGAGAACAATTCTTAGACCGTAAATATGCAGTGTTATCTTACTTTTTTGTGGGGGGGGGGGGTTGGAAAAAATGCCACCATTGTCATAGCCACCTATTTTCATACCATGAATGTTTTTCTGTGCACGACAGTGTACGTATATTTACAGTACAACAGGTTTAGAGAGTACTGCTATATAGTCAGTATGCATTTTTTTGTGGATTGTGGGTGTGACCTTCTGTCAGGACTGTTTTATAGGGATTACTTTTTTGGGTTTTGAACATGTTCAACTATATCACTAGTCATTTTACATGTACATGTATACTGTAAGCAGTTCTTATGCAGAACCATATACCTGTATAAAAATAGAGCATTGTCCTTGACTAATCTGAGAAGTTGCATGCACCATGGGGCTATAAAAAGGATGCACACATGTACAGGTACATGTAGTTTACCACAATATTTGTTCACACAATTTGAGTACACATGATGGATGCAAACTGTGATAGGGTTTATAGAAGTGTGCTAGTTTTGCTCTCACTCCAGCCGCTCCGAGTAACGCCCAGCCCAGCCCCATCTCAACCCAGCCCAGCCCAGCCCAACCCAACCAAGCCAAGCCCAGCCAAGCCCAGCCCAGCCATGCAGCTTAGCCCAGCTTAGCCCAGCCCAGCCCAGCCCAGCCCAGCCCAACCCCACCCATCCCATGCAGCTTAGCCCAGCTTAGCCCAACCCAACCCAGCCCAAACCCAGCCCAGCCCAGCCCAGCCCAGCCCAGCCCAGCCCAGCCCAGCCCAATCCAACCCAGCCCAATCCAACCCAACACAACCCAGCCCAGCCCATGCAGCTTAGCCCGACTTCACCAAACCAGACCCAGTCCAATTCAACAAAACCAAGCCCCTCATCTAAAATAAAAACCACAAAGCCAAGACCAGCCCAACTCAACTCAACCCAACCCAACCCAATCCAAGCAGATGTTCAACTCAGCAATGATCAACCCCTGTCAAATCCCATGATTTCTAACAAAAAAATAGGTTTCAACTTAATAGTGACAAGTCTGCATGGCGACATTACATGTATGTGTACATGGGTCATTCTATAAATTTAGGGTTCACTTGTTCCTGTCTCTGACATGTGTGATTTTGTCCAAGAAGGATATAAAGCAACCTACATTCCAAACAAATAAAAAAAATTCAAGTCATTATTAATAATACTTGAATATCAAATTAAATAGTTCATAGGTAAAAGGACAGGAAAAATGTCACACTTTGGACCCTAAATTCATAGAATGACTCATGTATTTTGAGAAAAATTTTGCATAGTCCTAAACAGTACATGGGTCTACGCACACTTTTTTTTAATACGGTACCAGTATCTTTCATCTTTCATACCACTGCCCTCAATTTTTATCATGTGACGAGACAGAAAGTAGTGGTGCATAGAGCTGCCGCATCTGTAGCCTATTTCATACGAAGTACATGTAAGTCTGGAGCAGTACACACCTATAAATTATCTGCATGTACTTGTGTCTAAATTGTTCTCTGGGATTTAAGCAGCAATTTCCAGCCATTTTCATCATCAGCGACCTGGCAGCTTTTTCTGCCTGATTTGTTATTGATTGCTGGTGTTTAACAAATTCCCTGGATTTGGATGACACACGGGAATAACTACATTACCAATGTCTGGCCGTCGTGTACCGGTGTCATGTGAGCATTCCATATTAAATTTGCAGGTACCATGAAGCTTGCCATTTTGTAGATAGTGTAGGTTTCATTTTGGAGATTTCTCATGAAACATGAGAGGGCTTTTATCGATTTCCTTTTTGTCAGATTTGGCAAAACTCGACTAGGCAAAACCAGGCACTGCATAGAATGCAAAATGTCTTGGTTTGATCTTGAGCATGCCAATTTCTCAAGCAGCTGTACAGTCCATGAACATGTGCATGCATAAGCAGAGCCAAGTTTCTTTACCACAACTGGAAAATTCATTAAAAATTGAGCCGTGTACCGTAAGATTGAACTTTTCTTGGGTAGCTCGTAAAAATGTAAATACCTCTACAGTACATGTTTACAATTTTTCTATTAGATATTAGCCCTTTTTGTTCTCTTAGGCCTACATGTAGTATGTATTTCAATAAACATAGAGATTATTATTCAATTATTAACATAAAGGTCAAAATTTGAAATGATTCATTGCACATGACAGAGTTAAAAATCTATACATGTATGTGTACTACAAAAATGTACATGTATACTGTACATGACATTGTCAAGTGCAATTTAACCTGAACAAGGATTGTACATACATCATGTACATGTAGATGAATTTTTAGCATCTAGACTCAGGGACACAGTGTTTCTTTTGTAAAAAGGATTTTAAAAATATCAAAGTAAAGGTCCTCACATCATCCAGTGGCTTATCACTGAGCAATGGCATTGTTGCTGAATGTTTACTGGGATGCATTATCCTTGAGAAGAAAGCCAGCATTGTTGCAGGGTAATTATAATTGATGGCAGTTTGCTAGTCATTATTGAAGATGACATCAATTATGTAGGTGGGCTATCATGATACGCACTCATCAATTCATTAATTGTGTACACACAATGCATGAAAATTGAAGGCACTACTCCAAGTTGCTACAGGAGAAATATAAGCTGTAAAGCATTTAAATTAGCAAGTCGTGCATCACAGAATATGCTGATCTGCAGGGTTTTGGGTTGTTTTTTTAAAAAATTTCTGTGAGGACTGCAACATCTGAGTCAATCGAAAGTTAAAACAAGATGGAGACTAGTGTTTGAGTTCTAATCAGAATGCACAGGATAAGTCATCTTTTTATATACATTTGTGCATATAAGTCTTAAGTAGAAATTTACCTTATTAAAGTTGGAGGATTTTGCAGGATTTTACAGCCTAACAATGTACATGTACATATACGTGAATTTGATGGACTGTGATGACTAACGTTCTGATGACAGCAGACCATCCATGCCTTCAGAGAAAACCTTAAAAAAAATGACTACAAAAGTGTTTTAAAATACTAGGATCCTCAGAGCACAGTGCTTAGTCATTCTGACTGTACACTCTACAGTGCTCTTCACTATAGAAAGACCCTTCCTCGAATGTTCCGACCGTATCTTTCCCATCGATATACGGACCCGTCCGCAGAATGCAAATTAGAACCAGATCTGTCCCTATCAATTTCACAATTTTAATGGCCTATACCGAAGGAAAGGGGGGGGGGGGATGTAAATAATCTTGGATATCTTTCAATTTGCCGTGTTCTGTCCAGATTGCCCAGTAGGGATCAAGTAGGGCTTGATATCGGATACATCATGCGCTGTGTATTTTTGAACATACGGTTTGGCTAGTGTGTAAAAATAGAATTCTATTTCGAGGTACTTGTGCAATGTGTGTTGACTACCGGATGGTTCTTCAGTTTCAGGTGATCAGCTCTTCTCTGCGAGTTCATACTTGTGCTTAATTTTAATTGACAAGTGGGTGGATAAATGAGCCTCATAATACCTGTACAGTTTTCTGGCAAAGTGATCATTCTGTGACTTTTAGCTGCATATTAAATTAAAGAAATCCATTTACCATGCTTGCAGTTATCATTTCATGTGTGGACATTTATTAACATGTAAGGAATGTCCCTTGCAATTTGGTACAAGTTACACTGCACAATCTGGCTTTTTTACAGCAGTATTAAGCCCAACAATTTTATCAACTTACAAGTTGCACGCCTTTCTTTTATATGTTTTTTTTAACTCTTCTTTCCATTCAATCCTCTACAGATAGATCTACAGGCATCAGTTGTAACCACCAGACAGCATCACCCTATCCATGGGTGACTCCACCACAGCGGTCCCATCGTCCAACACGATGGGCGGTGAGTACGATTATCTCATCAAGTTCCTAGCGCTGGGCGACTCCGGAGTCGGCAAGACCAGCTTCCTCTATCAGTACACCGACGGCACATTCAACTCCAAATTCATCTCAACGGTGGGAATCGACTTCAGGGAAAAGCGGGTGGTGAGTTTCAAATAATGCAGTTAACCAAATCAATCTAGCCCTAACCCCCTAGTAGCTCCTCAGGACTACCCTGCTAAATCCAACAGAGTCCTACCGGAGTGTCCTGTTCAATCCACTGTGCCTTATTTTCAGTTGTTTGCTGAATATAACGGAGTCCAACATGGCGTTGTGATGCGGTTCAGTTGCCTGCTGAATTTTGCATCATGATCAAGTTGGATCCTGTTCTATAACAGGGTTCATGTCCTATAACATCAGGCCAAAAGTTACATTTGTAGCATTACATCTCTATTTGGCTTATAAATTTGGCTTCTAATAGAATTTTGGATCTGCAGATGTAGTCAAAGCTGGATATAAAATCAAAGTTTGGAATACCCAACTGAGTAGGCGGGGAGAGATAAAAAAAAAAAAGCTACCGCCGGCACGTGCGGCAGGTCCTGGAGCCCCAATAGGTGTTGGATAAGCAATGCGATCCCGCCCATTTGTGTTATTAATGCGCAGGAGGTCCCTGTGGCTGCTCAGTCACTGTGTATATCGCAGCTCTCTAGTTCTTGGTAAATATGCGCTGGCACTGTGCAGACATGTTATTGTAAAATGGAGGATGGAGGGGGTGGTAGAGTGAATAAAAACAGACCTTTTATCGTGGTAGCTTGATGTGGTAATGTCACAAATCGTTTCTTCTTGTTGACGTTGTACGTGTTCGCTGTACATACTGCGTCAGTGCATCATTCTGAAACTCAGTGATCATGTGGTTGAATTATTATGTGCCTGTTTTTAGAATCGTGGCACAACAAGCACATACAGTCGTGTTTTACTTTACTCTCGAGGACAATGATTTGTGCTTCCTTTTGTCCCTGTTGTATAACACTCTCCCATAGACTAAGCACACAACTTAATACTACAATTCACTTCGGGGGGTTAGGGCTAGGGTTAAAACAGTAAAATGTGTTGCAGTGAAATATTGTTAAAATGACTTCATTGTGTACAAAAGATATACAACACACTCATAAGTTATGGCCATTTCCAATTACAGGAAAATCAATCTGCTTAGAATGTTTGGGAAGCAGTATTCCATGTTAGCTCACAGATTGTGGCTGAACGTCCAGATTCTGCATTTTTGGGGGGATGTGCATTCTACCGCTGTGTTTTGCATTTTAGGTATTATTATTTTTTCTGCGTCACGCCCACAGATGCACAGACCCAAGGGTGTAGCAGACAACATGAGCAGAGGGCAACGAGTCCACCTACAATTATGGGACACAGCCGGCCAAGAAAGGTAATATCTTCTTCCCCTCCCCCTTCCTCCAGGAAATTAGAGTAGCGACAGTCTATGCATACCAATAAGTTTGAGGAGGGGAGATGAAGCAATGAAAATTCATGCCTTCCCTCGCAGGGATGGGATCATATCTGTTTATGCAGGGTATCAGCCACATTTACTTGCCATGGGTCACCTTTTTCTTCGCGGAAGACCCCTGAAGGCATCTTGCTAAGATGGTTGCTGCAGAGAGATGTTGCAGCTCCCGACACCTGCTTATCCCGTGTGAATATTTCTGGGTTGTAGACACGTACTCTGCGGAGAGATACGTGTAAGCAAAAACCGTGCTGGCCGGTTCTTAATATAGGTCAACGACCATATTATATATGATACCGCGGACGAAGAGGCTATTACGCTCAGGTAAACATATGCAGCGATCTACATGAAGAAGTTGGAAAAGTATGGTAATTTGACTACAGGAGCATTTTAATAAAACGCATAGTGGAGCTTGCACTCTGGAAGAGGCATCTACTCAATTCTCGATTAATTTCCTTTCGTTACTTTATAAGGAAGCGGTCCTTAGTGACAATGGAGTGCCCATATGCAAGGGCCCTTGGGCCTCTGACTGATGTAAATTAATCTGAATAGTCCGCTACATGTACCGGTAACTGAGAGTACTTTGTCACTTGACATGCAAAGTTACCTGAGTCGGCCAATCAGATGGTTATTATTTTTAGCTTAGAATCAAAAGAATTTTTGCCGTGTGTGTGCTGCAATGGATCTTTCTTACATTAGCAATGAATGTTATTTAATGGTTACATGTGCATATACGGTATATCTGTTACTCTACAAGTTAACATATTATGTAACAGTTTTTACAAAAACTCAGTGTACATGTACTTTATTTGTGAGTAATTTTAGCTCTGTTGGATACATGTATCTTTGAAAAGAAGTACACATTTTTCTCATGTGAATCTTCGTACAAGTGAACACGTAAATGTACATGGTGGTTTGGCGGGTGCAATCATGCCTTGAAAAAAAAACAGCTGTTTTACGTCTGCAGTCTTATCACGAACCGGAGAATAAAGAATGTTTGCTCAACACGAACAGTGATACTCTATCATCATTTATACTGACTGAGTCCTAGCGGTGGCTAAAATCACTATTGCCGAGGAATGCGTGAAGTTCCTGCAAGGATTTCTTTTCTTCTTTTCTTCTTTTGTGCTGCGAAAAAAAAAATGAATTGAGCGTCACTTCTAACACGGGTCCCATCTGGTCATGCTGGTGCGGGAAAGGTTAATTGTTAATATCAACTACAATGTTATCACCGTGCAATGTTTTTTGTCGGTGTTATTTTGTCTACGTGTACGGTAGCAGCTCCGCGAGATCGAGGGGAAATGCTGGCATTGCCGCAAGCCTCTCGGGACCAGACAGCCCATATTGATGATCAGTGACTGCGATTTGGGAAATTTGTCTGACGGAGTGCAGAGACGAAGATTACTATTGTGTTGTCGAAGGAATGGCTGGATCTTAGAGAAATTTGGCAGTATTGGACTAGGGGACGGTAATTGGCTGGGGAAATTGACAAATGGATTATGAGACAATGAGATCAGCAATGTAAATCCTAGAAAAATGACTTTGACTGATTTTGAAGATTAATTTTGAAACACGATATTGCAGAATGTTTTGGAATAATGATTTTGAAGAATGATTTTGCAGAATGATTTTGCAGAATGATTTTGAAGAACGATTTTGAAGAATTATTTTGAATGGCAAAGCCCAAAAGTGGACGATTGTGACTGTCGCGTGATCGTATATCTTGTATCAAAATTATTTGGGAATTGTTAATATTAATAGCAATAAATGTGCTTACTAGGTAGAAAGTCAGTTTGCTACTGAAAAATCTCGTGTCTCGGACTGTCACTGAAACTAAAAAAATGCGTTGAAGACTAACATGCCCTGCACCCATGCACAACTGAAATGCCGAGCGTACACTGGATGCATGGAGGGAATACCTATTCCATATGTATCACATTAGTATGGAAATTACCAGGTACCATAATTCCGAGTGGAGCCGACAGTCCTTGATTACTGGGGCATAATGATCCATTCTTATCATTGTAGGGCCCTGGAGGATGGCCAGGGATGTGCATCATTCTGTCATTGGCACGTGTACCTGTAATATACATGTACCAACCATATTTTACATCTAATCATGCATGCTGTTGTACTGAATAGTAAAGTACATGTATGTGTACATGTACCAACATGACCAACGTACAAATGCAGTTCCAAACGGGCATCAAGCTGCATTTACATGTAATGTCATCAATGATCAAGACATCACTTTGCATTTTTAGTACTAGCAACTGTGACATTAGATAAGTCTATATGGTGGAATCCACTTAAAGGTATAGTCCATCATTTGTAATTTGTGCATTTTGTTCGTTTGAAGCAACAAAAGTGTTCAAAATCTAAAGCAGGGTGCTGAACAACTAGCCTGATGAAGTTTCAGCTCAGCTTCAGCTGTATATTTCGTGAAAAACAACATTCTAGGATCTCGATTTCAGATCAAAAGTTGCTGAATCATGTTTTGAATTGGGCCTGAATTCAGCGTCCGAGACACGTTCTCACTAGCCAATTGCAGCTACGCGATGTTGCGCACCGATCCGACGAATTATAGCAACTGCGTGCGCGTGTGCATCGTGTCATTACTTGCGCGCTTCGCCGAATAAAAAAACCGAACTACTAACAGAAATTTCCAACAGTGTTTTTTAAGACGCACCGTTGGAAAGGCCTTCTTTCATTGATTTCTTCAAAAAGACAGCTTGCTAGAAAGAATAATTTCACAGGGAGTTTAGTCCCCTTACTATCTTTCAACCAGGTATGTTTTTCAACAATAATTACGCCAGTTACTTTTTGGATAGCTGCAAATGATGGACTCGGGCTTTAAAGCTTGCCATCAATTAAGGGCTCAGGTAGCATGTATACAGTCTGAACCACTCCCCTCCCCCCAACCCCCAGTTTTGGTTTCAAATGGACAAATTAATTTTTCTTTCTTTCTTGATGTAAATACCTGGGACTTGGTCACAGCCTCAACTGACATAGTATAACTGTTTGCAGCTCACAGAGTGAATTACATGTACATGTACTTTCAGTCCTCTACTTCCATGGACTCGGTCATTGTCAGCACACAAGTACCTCTAACCTGTCGCAAAGAGAGAAAATGACAAACACTTGAACATCGATGCCGCTGGGTGCTGATACCTATGTAAAGATCCTTGGGGTTGTGCTTAGTTGTATGAAAATTAGTCTACTGTATTTTGCAACATGAATGCACGTAAACAGACATGCTCATACATGTACACTAGAGCTCTTTTGAGTGGCCACACCTCACAATCCACTGTTCGTGCATTAAGACCATATGGACAATGTGTCACCAATATTTCCCCAATAAACCAACCAATCTCTTTATGTTTGCTCTCCCCCCCCCCCCCCAACCTCTGCAAGGTTTCGTAGTCTAACGACAGCGTTCTTCCGTGACGCCATGGGTTTCCTTCTCCTCTTTGATCTGACTAATGAGCAGTCCTTTATCAACATCCGTAACTGGATGACGCAGCTACAGATGCACGCCTACTGCGAGAACCCGGACATTGTCCTGTGCGGCAACAAGTCCGACCTGGAAGAGAACAGAGCCATCTCAGACGAGAGGGCCAAAGAAATGGCGGAAAAGTACGGGTGAGTACGGGCTTGATTTTATTCCATTATTTATGGATCTTCTGAATATTCATAAAGTGTAAAATTTAAAAATATATACAACCCAGACTCTGAAAGATTCTCATGAAATGTATAATCAAGTCCTGTTAATGAAAATTATTTTAAAAATTCAAAGGATGACATTAAGCATGAATTTTCTGCAACTAATAATACTTGAAGAGCAATATACCGGTGACAAGACTGAAAAAATAATTTCCTCATCGAAAGGGTCCATTTCTCATTAGTGGTTGTATTAATTTCCATTCTTGCCTTTCGCCATGCATCAGTTCCAGTTTTGTCCTGCAGGCTGCCTTCATCAAAATATTGAATTACAATTAATGGGCCTGCCATATCATATTACAACACGGTTGATATATATGGCAGATATTGCAATGCTCTGGCAATTTTTGGGGGGGGTTGGATGTGGAGGAAGATGTACATGTATATGATAGGCATGACTTAGCCATCTGCACACACAGAATTCCAATTCAGCCTGTTCAAGCTTGAGAGCTTCAAAATAAAGACGGGTACTTGTAGCTCAGCGTAGCACCTGCTCATAAAAGAGAAGCAATTTAGGCAAAATATCCAGTACACCTGACACTTGTGAGCTCCGACTAAAGATCAGTATTGATTTTTCAACCCACCATGCTTCCCCCTTACTCCTCCGTCTTCATCAAACAGGTTGCCTTACTTTGAGACAAGCGCTAAGACGGGGAACAACATCAGTAAAGCCATCGAGTGCCTGCTAGACAACGTCATGCTGCGCATGGAACGCAGCGTGGACAAGAGCCAGTTTCCCGGAGCGGTGGTCGCCCACGGCAACGGCCGCGGATTGCCCATGGAAGTGGACGAGGCCGGAGAAGGTAGAGGTGGCTGTGCATGTTAGTCCCAGTCCCGGACAAAGAAAGAAAAAGTTTGGTAGGACCACTTTGTGGATAAGAAGGTCTTTCCTTTTGCTCGGTTTTTCCCGTTTCAGTGCATCAGGTACTTGTTGATGCCTGATGGTTAGTCTGGGTTTTCCACCCACTAATTTGAATCCCACTTGGATTAAGATTCAGTGGTGAAGGTGTTGGACTAAAGTTCTGAAGGAAACGCTAGTTCTCTGGCAAAACAATTCCAGCATTCTGAATGTCGTTGAAGTAAATCCCAATTCGTCCTAAAACTCTCACAAAACCCTTGGAATTTATTTAACTACTGGTGTTGTGTAGTTAAATTTAAAAGAGAAAAACCTGGGTGCCTAGGAGCGCACTTGACCAAGGTTGGAGCCGACTATAGCACCTTCGCTTTGGCTGTAAAAGGGTAATTTATTTGCTAAATGTAGAAAGAGGAAAGGGTTTTATAAAAATAATATACATATTTCTGAAAAGTTTGGCTTTGTCTTTTATTAGACATCAGGTGTGCTTTCAGTTTATACCACCGAGAAAAAAAACTCTTAGCAGGAAGAAACTGTCACACTTTGACTTTGCAGTGAAGAACCGTTTTTAAAATACAAGAAAACGGGCCAAAAAGGTCTCTGTCGCCGTCTGTTGTTTGGAACGTTCAGTTTTTGGGGGAATTTGAGGTGAACTTATCAATTCCTGTCAATGTCTTTAGAACCGGAACATTGCAGCACAACTTGTTAGCTGTACAATGTAATGGTTGTAGTAAAATTGTGGCATTGAGATTCTGTGTCTAGCAATACAACACATGCAGTCATTACAACATAGGCTTGCTACGTTATGTTATGTGGTTACCAATTGAGTTTGTGGGCTTATGTAAAGTGCATACGTGTTTAAAATATATGACTAAAGCCAAAATAGGGTGAAATACATGTAAGGTACATGTGCGTGCATGAAGATGGTTGGGCCAACGTTGCGGAGAGCTGCGTAAATGCCTCAGTGGAAAATCCCCACAAAAAAGTTGGAAGTAAACATTTATGTTAAAAGTAACTCAAAAGCCCAATTACGTATCGTATAGACAGGTAACTGTACATGGGATTCATTGATGGGGGATTTTTTTTGAGATGGAAATATGTTTGAAACAGACTCTGGTGAGGTACTGTACGCTACAGTAACATTCCGGACAGAAGGATGTCATTATTTGTTTATTTTCACATTCCCTACTTTGTTGTGTTACAGTTAATTTATAGTGTGGGTAAGGTGGGTAGAGGTTTGTAGAGTAGAGAGGGCCAATATATGCCTTATATTGCCTGACTAGAAGTAACAAATGCACGAGTATGAGACTTGGGCGATGTAAAAAATAAAGGAGTATTTTTTAAGGACAAAAGGAAATCGACGATTGTTGAAAATCACTGTTTTATAAGTTTACCTTGCAATGTGTCAGTGTGAAGCATTTGAATTTAATTGCTCATAGACTGGTTGACTAGAGATCAACTGAAATTTTTCTTGTTATGTATCATGTGATGTAGTGTTCCATATTTTGCACTCGCAAAAAAAAAAAGCAGCAAAAAACAACATTTAATACAGTTGCTGAAGATTTAAGTCAATGTTAAAGCAACTTAGTCGTGAACATTTGCTTCGAAAAATCGTTGGGTTTCACTTTCATTATTCAACTCGGATATTTTCTTTCATAAAAATAAGAAACAGTAGCAACAAATTTGTTCTCAACTCCAATAATTTTGTGTCACAGAAATCACAAAGTATAATTTAAACTTCTCACTTCCATTCATTCATCTCATTATTTATGAAGTTAATCTTGAATAAGGCAGTATTTTTTTTATATTGATTGATTGTACAGGGCACATACATGTAGGTTCATTTTCGCCACTTGTTTGAAACAGAGAATACATGCACCGTAAATATGACAAACCAAAGTTACATGTAAGCTACATTTGTATGAAGGAAAAAAGCAGCTTTACTGGTTTTTGAACAATCTCTCGGAGTCTTGAACATTTTTATTAGTATTTAAAAAAAAAGTACTGTTTTTGTCAACATACATGTATTGATGATCGTATACATGTGACTGACCATTGTTGCAGCATATCTGCAGCATTATATTGAAATATCAGTGTAGTATTTAGGCTTCATTTGCACGCCATAGCTATTGGACCGATGTGCTCAGTGAAAATGCACCTTACTCCATTATCTCCTCCTCAATCCAGTCGATCACGTTTAGTACACTAGGGCGGCAAACGCTAGACTTGTTCAGTCCAACAATAGTCTGAAGTACGTTGCAACTCATGCTTGCCAATAGGTGGACTACTCTGCAATCTGAATGTGGAATAATTTTCATCTCAGAACACACAAAAAGACAGGGAAATGGGGAAAAATGATAATGGTGTCAGAATCAGAACTCTCTTGTTTACAAAAAAAAATATCAAATTTTGTATTCAAATATTTCATTCATTGATTTAAAAAATAAATAAAATTTTGTATTTAGGAAAAATTCTTTGTTTGCCATGTGGGTCTTTCCATATATTATTTTTAACATAATGGGTATTTAAATGTATAATTTTCTATTGGAAAAAAATTAACTATCTTATGATCTGATATACATGTATATTTATAACCAATTTTGCATTCTTTCACAAATGTCCAAACTATGTAAAAGTGATTTGAATCTTGTATTCATATTATATAACAGTTATAATTTAAGAAGGCACATGGCACATATATGTCTTGATAAGTACTAACATGGTCAACTAGTGTGTTTTAAAAAGATTATAAATGCACTTGTATATTTCTGGGAGGCTAATTTCAGTGACAATTTCAAGTTTGACATAATTTGGTTACCGACCCTAAATGATAGAATTTAATTGACAATCACCAAAGTCCGATACCACACATCGGATTACTTTAGAATATCAAAAATGCACAACATGCCCAGTTTAGCCGGTCAGTGCCGGCGGCCCAGCTACTACACATAAAGTTGCTCAACTCAAGGTTCAGAATGACTATCTCGTTACACGATCAACTCTCACAGCTCTACTCGCTAACATGAAGGTGCAGTGATATCCTTTCATGTTTTTGTGTGTACTCTTAAAATATTTCCCTACTTTGGGAGGGGTAAACTGTCTCTCTGTCGATGTTTATGGTGTAAATCGATGAGGACACACATGTAAGCATCATCGAGTAAAACTGAGGACAGGAGTCAAATCAAGGACGATTAGAAAACGTTTACAAAATCCACGGGAGCTGTTGCAAAACAAATTATAGTGTAAACAAAAGATCGATGATGAGGAACAATAGAATTAAATCCTTGACTTACACCATAAACAAACTTGCTGGTTTGTATGTATGTGTTTGTTGGGAGGGGGGACATTTCCCTGAATCCTCCCCTCGCCCATGCCCATGCTCTCGTTTGAAGAATTGTGCGAGCAGACTTCTCCATTCTCGTTAAAATTGCTTAATTAACACTTCACAATATTCAAATAGGGTCATTTTACACTGGGATATATTTTTGTTTCTATTTAATAACATGTAATAAGTATATGTGTTTCAATTTCTCGTAAGATTCCCCTTCATCCAAATAAAGCTATATATAATTATATTATTTATGGAATTTCCATATTCACCTTGCCAGTACAGGGTTTTCTGTCAGTGTATTCAAATCAAATTTGTTTAAAAACAGGAGGAATATTGAAACTATTATTGATATTTTGGAAAAGTGTTTTTTTGGGGAAAGAACAATTAAGTATAAAAGAAATCTTAAACTAAACAATTCACCTCAGTTTGAGCCAGTACTGATGAGTTTCTCGTTAATAATTTTCTCTTTATTGTCTTCAGAATCCCACAAGAGGTGTGGGATTTTGGTGGACTATTATGCTTAATTTGTTGCCAGTGTGTAACAATGAGTATGCCTTGCTGTAATGTTGCATTGTTACTGTAGCCAGTATAACTACATTTTTGCCTGAGGTTGTCAAAGTACTTTTATTGCACTAGATGGAAAAAGATTCGTTTAAAATCTTTAAACGGTTTATTTGATTGATTTTTATAAAGCAAAGAATCGACCTTGCAGCTTATGTTGTAATTTAAAGTGAGGTATGTAATTCAGAGAAGTTATCATCAGATGTTTTAAAACTTTACCAATTTACAGGTAATGACAAAGTGTTATTGCAGTTTACCAACTTGAATTGCAGTTTCCGAAATATAATGCTCTGCTCTCACAAAATGAGATGTAAGCCACCAATATGCTATTAAATCATTCTAAAGATACATCTCCAAATTATCTACTTTAAGAACACTGAACGCCAGATATCTTAAAGATTTCATCAACCTAAGTATCTATCGACATCAACATTTCTGTATTTAATAACACAGCTTTTCCTGAAATATTCAGATCATTGAGATCTCTTGACTATAAATGTCAACTCATTATGTGAGAGCACGTCACATAGTCCAACACAAGCTAAAATTATTCCAACAAGTCTTTTTACATATGCATATGTAAAAAACTATTCATATATAATGAAGAGGAGTTGGTAGTATAGGAGGAACATTTAGTACCTTGAATGGGTGTGGGGTTCAGAATAGTGAGGAGGGTAGCGGTAAAGTGTTGAATGGCAAGGCAGTATCAGAGCACAGGACCAAAACACATGACCAAGGCCTATATTAAGACTGAGGCCTAACAGTTCGACATATTTTTGTTGAAATTTTAATGGAGCTTCTAAGCAAAAACCAACAATTTTAGTTGAAATTGTAAATGCTCAGTAAAATATTAGCAGACATCCAGTCACAAGCAATATGAATCACGTGAATTATTAGCTGGTAACCTTATTTTGCTGATTAATACTTTTTCCCAACTTAGAAAATCTGTTAGCTTATCCCAGCTCGGTCCTTGGATAATGTCTGGCTTGTTCATGTGTAATGATAAATTTGTTAATGAAAGTACAGTGTTCAAGTAATACACGTCGGTTATTTAAGATAAAAGAACGCCTGTGTTATGCAACTGTTAGCTTTGTGCCGATATGTAGTGCAGTATGAAATACACAACAAAGCAGGATTTATTTTTCAAACTTATTTAAGAGTTATTTTTGTGAATATATTGGCTACTGTAAAAAAAAAAATGGCAAAAGAAAAAAGCCAAAAATGAATTGTATTAATTTTCAGCCTTGTAATATGCATGCATGTGTAATTAACCATATGTAAATATTGTAATTCTAAATTATAAAATAGTACTGAGGAAACAAAACAGTAACGAAACTCGTCAACGACAAAATCTCACCCTTCAACGTTGAAATTGTAATAAAGGCACTTCCGTAGGACTGAAACTTTTCTATAGACTCATATACACGTATACTTTTTGGGTTTAAAAAAGCTAACAAATCATGTTAAAATAAACCTGTAAAATAAAGTTTTAGAGGAAAGCTTATTAGAATTACAGATAATCGAGTTGCTTACGTTTGTTCGTGTCCAGGAGTTAATTTCAAACCTAAACCCCATGGATATTTAAACGTACATGAAGGAGGAAAACATCTACCGTTACCAGATGTGATCTGCTCTTTTCTCCAAAGTTACTTCATTTCCCCACCACCCTTGTTTAATCATATCAACTTCAGGATGCGTCAAACTGCTTTTTTGTTCCCGACATCCGAGAGCTCCCGCCTACGAAAGACGCAGATGTAGATGATGTATAACAACAAAGAAGTCACGACTATCGTAATTCCAATGGCCTGCAATTGAAAAACAGATGCAGTAAAAAGAATATAGACCGAAAATTACAAGTATATGTTTATTTTCCCAATTCCCCCCTCAATTATTCACCCACGCCTGCCAAGCCTGTCTTTGGCCTCTGTGGAAGGAAAGTCAATTTGTGATTGTAGCTCAAAATAGTTTTCTTAAAGGGTACTCGCCCAACAAATAGGCCTATAACCACAATGTTATGTGATATAATCGGGGTTTTTTTTGGCATGTAAGCATTTTTTCTTCTGCACTCCACAACAGTTCACCATCTCCTTCCCCATAACGACTGGAACCACATCTGAAATTTGTATCAACGTTCTTGGACGTCTTGATAACACAACCTCACTTTCACATCTCCCTCGCCGAATCTCCGTTTCATCTCACGTCAGGCTTCACCTACGCATACCTCTATTTTTTTCAAAAGGATTAATAATCTTACCTTTATATTCGAACTCGCTATAACAAATGCTGTCGCTCTGTAAAAAGGGTGAACAAGTGAGAATTTCAGAATTTCTATTGTGCGCAGTTATATCACGTGCCATGCACTTGTTAACAATTTTTTAATGCGAACATTTTCTTGGTTCACTGCAGATCTTTCTGCACAGCGCCTCCAAGAAATACCAAGCTATATGAAATGACATGAACATTATGAATGATTAAGATCAAAATGATATGAAATAGCTTACAGTTTGCTTAGTTTACTGGGCACTTCTTCTTTCTCTATCTTCAGATGTCCTTCTTTGGCAAAGTGGACTATGCTCTCTGGTGTCAGCTCGATAAGAGGCAGCGTGCACCAGTATGCTTGACCTTGCTTTAAGCTGTTAGCCAAGAAACAATGTGAAGTATATTGTTATAACGAAAACAACGAAATTTAATGTAGTTTCATCACCGGTTAACAATAATAATGATACCAATATACCAAAGGCCGCATACTTACAGAACAACAATCGGCAGTTTCTTCGGATCCACGTTAAACCGCTTGAAAAGGCCAGCCTCGGTCCCCACGTCAACGTATCCGAACTCGATTTCACCTTTTAGCCTTAGGAAAAAAGTACCTCCGAAATAAGAATTTGCGATTGATGTCTTTGTGAAGCATTAATATTTCAAACAATCTATTCAAAAAAGGAGGTACAAGTACACTGTACTATTACAGTTTGGTATCGCTAAGGAAGTGTGAATATCTACAAACCTAGATGCTGCGTTCTCCCAAGTCGCCATGAAACCATCACAACCAACCGCATCCACGTCACAGCTAAAGAAGAAAGAAGAAAGAAACTTATTCCGTCGCTGTTAAATCTTTGCTGTTATCAATAGGTTTTACAAACTGAGTGTTGTTACCCGGTACTTTATTCCTCCTTAGTCTTAATTGTTTAATTTTATACCACAGTTGAGAATATACTGCTTGTTTATAGTCAAATACAAGAGCGGTCATTGAGCACAATACGTTTATTTAACTGTAAACCAAACTATTGACACGACTTGTCAATCACATGGAAAAACTGGCTAGGCTATGCTGATTTTTTTTTTCTGTTTCCAGGCCATATTTGGTCTGATACTTTTCAGGTCATAATGACACTTCTCTGAATTATCTTCCACGTCATTTGACCCATGCAGAAACTTTGGCAACAGTGTCGTTTTTATCTGAAAAGTTAATATGGCCTGGTACGTTTATAAAGAGTGCATAGTTTATCGGTGCAATGACTTACAAATGAACGAGCCACTGCAACGTGGAGGTAGGGTCTTTGGTTCCCTCTGTCTCTTTGTCAAAATTTGCGTCCGTCAGTGACCAGCCCCGGACCTCAAGATTGGCAAACGCCCAACTCACCAAAGATTCTGCGTTTAAATCGCCTGGGAAAAAAAGCGACAAAGTTAATAGCTCATGTTTTACAGTTAAGATTTACAATATGTTCCGAACCCTGCTACAATCAAGGCATAGCATATCAGTGTGCTGAGAAACTGGTATCTATTTTGGTTGATATACATGTACAGTTAACGATACACCGCGTGTTTATTCCATACAGTCGTATAACATCGCAGATTGTGAAGTTTCGGTTTCTCCCTCATCAACGCCTTGATGGACCGCGCCGAACACAGCAGGGCTCAGCAGGGCTGATTATGTTTGGTGTACTGGCTGGCTTTGCTTCACTTTGGAATGATTTGGTTTCCCAGAAGCCTTATGCCATCATTTAAAAATTGGGTGTAAAACTTGTTTTCAAGTGAATAAAGATGGCATCCAAATTGCTGTTTTGTGCTTTTACAATAGGCCCACACCTGGATAGAAAGTTGTGCAAAATTTCACATGGTGTCGAAAGGTGAGTCCACACATCACTACGACTTAAACCTTTGCACTGGAATGCTTGCTCATATAGTTCCTTGCTATGTGGTAACATTGACAAATGTCACCATTTCAGTTCGAGTGTTACCTTCGTATAAGATCGGCACCCCGTCCCTGAAAAAGAACACGGTGGGTAGCCACCTCAGGTTGAACCTGACCAGGAGCTTGGGATCCGTCACTTCGTAAAAATTCACGCTCACTACCTCCTTGGAATCGTCCTCCATCTGCCAGAACTTGCGAGCTGCCTCCCGGAAATGCGGTCGGAATCTCTCGCACTCATCACAACCTTCGGAGACTTGGATACGCAGGAATAAAAAAATAGTAAGAAACAGAGAAACTTTTCCACTTGGCCAATACATTTTTGGGATATTAAACATTGAATGACGTAGCAATCATGGTATTTGTGTAAATTAGTGTGAACAGGCATTGCAGTTACTGTGTGGACCTCTGGACTAAAGATGTCCACATCGTGCAGATAAAAGTGAAGACGTTGTGTGGACTTGCCCACGTTCGCACAACTTCACCCTCTCTGGAAAACAGTTTTAGAAGATTTTGTTGGGTTGGGTTATCAGTCGCAAAATGAAGAGGAACACTTAAGGATATCGTTATAAAAAAAATCGAGTTGAAAGAGTCTTCACAGTGCGATTAAAAAAAATTCTCCGTTTTTGGAATGTCCAAACTATAGGTATACGTAAACATGTGTGAGTGACCGTAGCTATGTGAGCACGTTCTTTATTTTATATCCTATAAAGAGGGCCCTAATATGCAGGATGCATTTCTTGGTCAGAGTTTTGAAAGTTGTCTGTTTTCTTTTTTGTTCGAACACTGACATTTTTGACATGGTTTACTTAAGAAGTGTCTCAGTTAAATGAACGTGGTCCTTAGATAGCACCAGAATTCCATGTAGCTGTTTCGCAGAAAAATCACCTATCAAATTCGATTCCCCAGTCAAAATTAACAGAAAATGGCAGAAACGACCGGTAAGCGGTAGGTGTTCAGCATCTGTGATCGCATTTCCCCCAGCTGTCACTTTTATGCAAATTGTAACAATTTTTAATTGCTGGATTATTGCGGTATTCTCAATGAGGTGTTAGGTCTGTAGGGAGCACGTGGCAGCAATGGATATCTTTGTTTTTCGAAAGGTAGACAGTGTACGGCACAAGAACAATGGTCATCTGCCATATGTTTTCGAATTTCAATGACGGACATACTCGTATATTATAATTCCGTCATTTGCACACCAAAAAGAATACAATTTGTAGAAAGCTAATAACTACAAATGGATTAAAGGCCTACATTTAAAAAATCCAAAACGACACAGATACTGTTTTTGTTTCTGTTTACATTTTCTACCTTATTTATGGGCAATGATCAGGACGATCTTTGCCTTTAAATCATGTTTTCAGGACCAATATGACAAGGTAGGCTAAATATCTACATGTATACAGCTACAGCGTTTCTATTTTTTACGTTTGCATTTCGCACTCAAACTCGAACCACTGTGGCATTCTGTCTTGTAAGACAAATTTGATCACAAGCCAATGAAAAATGTAGCCTAAATTTTTCGGTATTCAAAATATTTACATCTCAACTCACCGCAATAAGAATCTATAGGCAGCGTGGTATTTTGTTATGTTACCAATAGTATACCTAATGGAACACCTTACCAAAATGTAACATGTTGTATTTCTCATCATACAACACGTCTTCGAAGTCTTTGTAAGCGAGGGAGCGGACCAACTCTTCGTCTTCCCGCAGCTTGGCACTGCCCCCTGCCTCCTCTTGTTGCCTGTTATCGAAGTAATCATCTGGATGATAATCCTCCTCCTCATCATCTTCCTCCTTGGCCGCTCCCCCTGCCCCTCTCCCTTCGAGATCACCGATTCCCCCGTCCTCGTTGTCCAAATCAGGGTCTGGGTATCTCTGGACATCTTCCTTGCCGTTCTCTTCCTCTTGCCCAACCTCTTTGTCAATGAAAATCACGTCATCATCAGAGACAACCACTGGCTCCTCCTGTGCCCCCGGCGCTTCTCCTTTGGATACTGGATCTTTCGCGGGAAAGGTGTCCACAACCGGTTGAGGTTCGTTTCGTGACACTTTATTTTCCAGCTTACCGCCTTCTGTGACCGAGTCCTGCGATTTTGTTGGGGGATGTGAAGGTTCAGTGGAGCGTTTCTGGTTTGTATCTCTGGAAGCATCCCCTTGCTTCTTGGGTACTTCTTTGGGGTCGGGGTGTCCCGTTTGTGGTTTCTTTGAAGCACCTCCTGATTTTGGAGCCTCCTTGACATGTCCTGTGGAAGCTTTGTCAGGCTGTGAAGACTCCCGGTCGGGACTCTTACCCTCAGGAGGTTGGTTTACTTTAAGGGGCTTTTTGGGCAGATTCTCACTGACTGGTTTTTGACCAGCTGTCCGGGGCTCTGTAGTCGACGGCTCCGAGTCCGTCTCCGGCCTTGAAGTCACGCTTGCTTCTCCCTCCGTCTTGGTAGAGGCTGCCTCCGCTGCCTGTTCTTTCTTCTTGAGAATCTCCTGGTGCATTTTCAGATGCTGCTGGTGCATTGTCAGCTTGGATTGCACGGACGTTATCGCAACCAGAACATACACGCCAAAGAAGAGATTTCTCATATGCGCCATTCTCAACTTGCTTCACGAACTACGCGCAGAAATCTATACCATTGAGAGACGAGCTCCAAGTGCTTCACCGCCGGTAATCTGAACAGTTATTGCGGGCATTGGGAAGCCGTTGATTTGCCGTTTGAAATGTTTTCATTGTGAGTGTTTAAGCCGCCCTATATGAGTTTGTTACACGTGGCCTTATGGTCACAGATGTGCTGGGTCTGTATAGCTCTCTGATCAATAATTTATTCACAAGGACATGTATAAACTGCATTATCATAACCAAAAGTACTTCAGCAGTTGTGATGACTGCCTGTAATTGTCAGACACGGTGATCAAAGCCATGATCTTTCCAGTTTTCAAACTTAACACAAATATTTATTTCTAAACATGATTTATTTTTACACATTTACTTCGGGCCTATATCATTACTGCAAACACTTGTGAAAACGATTTACTTCAAAATTTAATTGGCTTTACAATAAAAACATTCATTCATTCAAAAGCTTATTTTGTTGACAATGAAATAAATTAAGAATATTTTACGTGATAAACAATTATTGTGATATATTTATAGTCAAACGTCACTGCTGAATGTTGTTTATTTCGAGAACAATTTAATAAAGTGTTCTTATACTTGAAAATCAAATTTGATCTCACGTCGGTTTAACGTTGGTCTTGATTTACCTAAGATGATGCTGCTTCAGCGCACTGGTATACGCACGACGCATTTTATTTTGAATGTGCAAAAGAGACTTAATGTCGTTTGATCATTGCAATTTTCAAACTTGATACAAAGATTTCTTCTTAAACGTAATTGTATAATAATCATCTTCATTCTTTCAAATCATATTCTATTTACACCTTAAAATATTTACTAAATATTCAATTATTGTCAGATATTTAAAGTCATATAGCACTGCTGATCTTTCTCCATTGATGTGCAGTTTTACAAAGCGTCACCTTTACTTATTAACTATAGTTGAAAAACATTTAATTTGGTCTAACTACGGTCTATTTATTTATTTATTTATTACATTTATTTACCCAGGGTATGCCCAAACAGTTTAAAACTGGTTTCCATTGGGGTCCTGCATACACCTCTAATGACTACAAATATGAACAAATACAATACATTTACAAATACGATACACCACGATGAATTAAAATAAAAGCATAAGGGATTACTGCATGATTGTAAAACAACTATTATAAATATTGTACAACATTACAAAGAAACATGTACCGTTTGAAACGGCATCGCTAAGGTGATTTAAGTTTACACGAAGAATTTGGACATTTCTTGTGACATCGGTAATATATTTCTCCTTGTGACATCGGTACAGTATATTTCTATACAATTCGCTGATTACGGGAGGGGCGAAAAACCCGTGAAAAAAAAACTTTGGGGAGAAAAAAACGGGAAACTTCCCATCCGGCTCCTTATTATGGCAACCACGGTTTCTCCGTAAGTCAGCACAGATTTATATCATAAGTCTCATCAGTTAGAGCGTGTTCTGTTGAATTAAGTGTGCCATCAGCAAGGGTGTATCGTCCAATGGTCAACCCATGACTGTGTTCAGTTGACCGTTCAAAAAGTGGTGATACTGGTGATTAGTGGTGACTTTGTTCTTTAACTTGAATCCTGCGGTGAAGTAAATAATATTGCAGGAGTTTTCTTTAGAATCGCCGGCGAAAGCAAGAAGCAACCAATTCCTGCAGGGCTTGCCGAAGCTCCCTGTTCCTCATGTAGTAAACGACCACATTCAGCCAACTGTTGGTAGCAAAGATAAAGTTTGTAATCAACTTAAAAAGTGGGGGCGGCTGTACTCCAGGGGTTAAGGAAATGACACTGAAGATGATAGACGGGAGCCAGCATATAAAGACCGTCATGGTTATGATGAACACTGTGGTAGCCGACTTTGTACTGACTCTCTGCGGAGCGTTCTGATCACCCAAATCAACATTGATCTGATTCTGGGCGGCGATGCGACGTGCCTGCTGTCGAGCAACGTTAAGAATGTACATGTAGAGGATGACAATGGTCACAAGGGAGATTGCAATTGCAGATACCACAATGGACGTGTAAATGTTGTTGTCTGAGGTGAAAATACATTTACGAGGTGCAGACGGTGATATGACGTGCGGTAAAAAGATGCCAAATGCAATTATGCCGATTGCCAATGTCATGCTCCACGTGATAGCGACAATTGTCTTCGCTTTCTTCAAAGTCATTAATGTCGGATAGCGCAGCGAGTAGACGATAGCAACAAAGCGATCCACTGTCATGAGAACAAGTGAAAACATACTCAGTCCACCTAAATATGTTGATGTAACACCCCAGACGGTGCACAGAAAAGAACCCAACACCCATTTCCTGTTGAAATGTTGTGTTAGCTCCGGGAGCACCCAGAACAGCCCGATGCAGATATCAGACACGGTGAGTGAAGCCATGAACACCTTGGTCGTTTCTTGGATGCCGCTGGCGCGATGAAGCATTACAACGCATATCGGGTTGAGAGTCAGAATCAAAACGACTGTCAGAGCTGTTAACACGCCGAAGGAAACCTCCAACGGGTCCAGTTGAGGGTTTGGCTCGCCATTCAACAATTCAGTGAAATTAACAGATTGTGGATTCATGTTGGATGGTTTGGTCGTATGTAACAATATATTTTTAGATTTTGGTGTAAATTTCCAGAGTTTACACTTTGTAACATGTAGGCCCTACTCTCAGTTGATCTCATCTCTGCTCTAGTGGCTTACAGGTTGGGTGACGTGGTTTTCACTGCACGTCGTTTTCACGGCTGCAAGTCGCTAGCGCTTGTTGCAATGCCTTAATTGTTGGTCTTTAATAACCGTACTCGCTGTCTACTTAATGAAGTGGTTGACATAAAATGTCAGCCCATTTCACTGCCACTATCCCCCTTGATCAATTTCCAGTTCATAAAGTGGCATATTCGCATAACAACTCAGCTATCACTCCTCCAGGGTTTGCCTTAATTAACTTAGCTAGCCAAATTGTCAGATCATCACCTATCAATCTCAATTTCAAGTCAGTATCATTATTTGTGGATGACTTTCATTTTGATATATGGTTGGTCCCCTCTGTAATAAGCTATGAAATATTGCTATTGATAATACCAGCTATATAAACTTATCCAACCATCGTCGACTAGAGTGCGTTTGATCAGGGTTAGACGATCGAACTTGCGCATTGATATGGAGCTCTCAAGTGTGGTCAAATACTGCCCTCTACTTATAATGCACAGAGTCCATTAAGTACTGTATTCTCCTGTTAATAAAATAGTGGTTTACGGGGAAATGCAAGGGGAGGAATCACAGACGGAATACTTGGAGAAAGTTACTTTAAATACGACTTGATCTTTTCACTTTTCACACTGGATATACACATTTATTTTAAAACATCACTTTTGTATACTCATCTACTTTCACATCATCACTTGGAAAATATTGATTAAAAGCTTTATCTCTTAACTTTACACTCAATATCTACATTCATTGAAATCTTATATTGGACAATTAAATGAAAGAAATTTTACTTTATTTACATTCCGAGTGTTTATGTTGTATGACTCGAGTCCAGGACTCAGCACAAGTCTGTCTCAAATCACAATCTCAGTGACTCGGACTCGACTCGAGTCACATCAGCAAAAGACTCGCTCTCAGACTCGGACTCCACCATCATGACTCAGACGACGCAAATGTCTAGTGTCTCACGAGTCACGTACTCTGTTTAAAAAAAAATACCTGTTAGAATGTTAAGAGTTTTTATTAGAATCCTCGGTGAAAACAAGAAGCAATCAATTCATGCAGGGTTTGCCGAAGCTCCCTGTTCCTCAGATAGTAAATGACGACATTCAGCCAACTGTTGGTGGCGAAGATCAAGTCTGTAATATCGCCAAAATTTGGGGGCAGTATTGCTTCAGAGATTGAAAAAGTCACAGTATAGATGATAGACATTGTCCAGCATATGAAGACCGTCATGGTTATGATGAACACCGTGGTAGCCGACTTTGTGCTGACTCTCTGCGGAGCGTTCTGATCACCCAAATCAACACTGATCTGATTCTGGGAGGCGATGCGACGTGCCTGCTGTCGCGCAACGTTAAGAATGTACATGTACAGGATGAAAATGGTCACAAGGGAGATTGCAATTGCAGATACCACAATGGACGTGTAAATGTTGTAGTGTGAGGCGACAATGCATTTACGAGGTGCAGACGGTGATATGACGTACGGTAAAAAGATGCCAAATGCAATTATGCTGAAAGTCAATGTCATGCTCCACGTAATAGCGACAATTGTCTTCGCTTTCTTCAAAGTCACCAATGTCGGATAGCGTAGCGAGTAGACGATAGCAACAAAGCGATCAACTGTCAGGAGAAGAAGTGAAAACATACTCAGTCCACCTAAAGATGTTGATGCAACGCCGATGGCGGTGCACAGAAAAGAACCCAACACCCATTTCCTGTTGAAATATTGTGTTAGGTCCGGGAGCACCCAGAACAGCCCGATGCAGATATCAGACACGGTGAGTGAAGCCATGAACACCTTGGTCGTTTCTTGGATGCCGCTGGCGCGATGAAGCACCACCAGGCATATCGGGTTGAGAGTCAGAATCAACACGACTGTCAGAGCTGATAAAACGCAGACGAAAACCTCGTACGCGTCCAGTTGAGGGTTTGGCTCGCCATTCAACAATTCAGTGAAATTAACAGAATCTGGATTCATGTTGGATGGTTTGGTTGTTCAACAATATATTTTGCTGTTTTAGTTAGATGAAATCACATTTAGTGTCGTCAAATTATCTGACTGGCTTACAGGTTGTGTGGCTGACTTTTCACTGCCAGCAGTTTTGCTAGCTTCAAGCTAATATCTCTTGTTTACCTTTAGTTAAGAGTGGTTGACATCACCACTTGTTTTCTCCCCCCCCCCCCCCCAAATCGATTCACTGCTCACTTTTTCCGGGATGCTTATTTATTCACAAAACAACAAACAAAAAGTATCTTGTCCCCATGGCAACTCATCTGACACTCTTCCAGCGTTTGCCTTAATTAACTTGACTGGCCATTTATACGTTTCCGTTAATCAACATTTTTACCTGAGGACAATCTGCAATCACAGAACGGATATTAAAAAGGTTCCTCTTCATTTGACATGCAACGTCTTTTGTTTTTATTGCTAAATTACAGTCAACTACAACACTGACCGAATCAACCTCAAAGGCTCCAGTTTTGTATATTGTGTTTCAATATGAATATATCGTTTTGAGGTTTCTCCTGTTGCTACAACAAACGAAATGCATTTTTTGAATTTTTTTTTTTTGGGGGGGGGCGTTGGCTTGCACAAATTCGGCATGTACTTGCAACCCAACAAAACTGTATTTGTTGTAGCAACGAGCGATCATTCTATTATGGTCTATCTGAGTTCACCTGTCCAAGTGAGTCCTATTTCTTAGATATTTCAGATCTAAACTTACATATAAATAAAATTATTCGGATCATTGTGATAATAGCCTTGGTGGCGCCCTAAATTTCTACCGTACGAATGCGTGCAGAAATCCAGTTCTAGTTTATATTTTTGTCATTTTCAATATTTTTGCTCGACTCAAGGGCATGCCTTTTACTCTCACAGTCACCGACCGACCGACCGATCGATCGACTGACTGAGTCATTAGACAAGGATCTTTGGGTCACCTCTAGTATATGTTGGTGTACAAAGACATGGTGTTTTATATCAATAATTATGCGGTTTAAAGGATGGAGGACCAATCACTGATATATATGTTTGTCTGAAGAAGAGGGCAGAGGAAATGTTGACAAACTTACAGAAACTGACCATCCTAGTTACTCCATCCAGGTACACTCTCTTCTCAAAGTTGGCCGCAGTCAGCGTCTCAACGAGCACGCCGCCAGCGCCTAGCGGATCCAACTGCATGGGTTCCCACTCCGACGGGTCGAATTGCATCTCCTGGCCATACTCCGTCCTGCTGGCGTTGCGCAGCTCGTTGGCTTCGCTGCCGTCTTCGGTGTTATTCACCCACCAGTTGCCTTTGTAATCCTCCGGCGTCATTTCGTCTTCTTCGACGATACTATCCCCTCCTTTCTCGTGGTCTTCATGATCGTCCACATCTTCGAAGTCTCCCTCTTCCTCCCACTCCCTTTCATCCAACTCCGCCCCTTCCACCTCCTCCTCACCAGAATCTTCCAGATATTGGTCTGCATCCTCGTCTCCCAGAATTTCCTGCGAATCTGTGTCCATTTCCCGGTCAACTGACGCTATAAAGTGTCGAGGCAATGACCTGGCATGTTTTTCCACAGTTTGTCGATATGGGTCCGGGTCAGCATCACCTTCGACATCCCTTGAATCGACATTGCCTCTCCAGGTGTTATTTCCATGATTTCCCACCTTACCTGTAGAATCAGTTCCAAGCTCCGATGATAATGAAGCCAAATGGAAGACTAACAAGAGTACGAAATAGTACCTTGCCCCAGTCGCCATATTGAATGATTACAACACAAAAATGATTAACCCAGAACCTAAAACACATAGAGTACATTGGACGTTTTATCAGATCCATTGTTTAGGTACAATAGGCCCAATGAACAACTGCAACACGTGTATGTAGTTGTTTGCGATCGATAATCTCCACAATTGTCGCGAGCAATTGCAAAATGATAACGCTCAAAGGTGGTGGGATTCGGATTGGACTTTCTCTAATATTGTCCAATTTGTATGTACATTATTTTTAATGACTAGAAGATCAGTAAAGCAATGTTTGTAGACCTATATGTATATATTTTGACGCATAAAAGGGTATACAGATGAAGTCTATTTGAATTGGCTGGGTCTGGGCTGGGTCTGGTGGCCGTAGTAACGCGTTTCGGGACTTTGGGTGATAACTATAGATTTAACAGCAATTCTGCGGTATTTTTGGGTTTATGCTGGCTTTTTATAGCCAAACTTAGAGAAATATGAATTTCACGAAAAGATGTTCATTGTACCAGCGTAGAGTAGTATGATCAGCAATTTCTTGCTTTCCATAGGATGACAATAAAACATTTCTCTGATCAAAAACAATGAACGACTGTTTAATGAAGAGCCATCTAAATTTTCAAGAGGGCCACATTTTGAGGACGTGCAAAATCCACATCGGCAAACGTAAAAAAACGTCCAGCAGAAATTATTTGCTTCCTGTAGTCACAAGTGCATCATCTCGATCGAATATTGTTCCGATTTAGAGATGTGCATCCGCAATCAATTAAAACGACTAAAAACAAATGGGTGACTGGCGCCCTCTAGTGGCAAGTGGCTTGGAGGCAGGAGGATGGCGCGGGTGGAGGGATGCCTAGTTTTGGTTCGCTGGTACCTGTATATCCAATTTAAACCAGGATTATTGTAAAACGATGTTTCACGTTAACTTAAGATTAAACTTTTACGAATTTGTAATCCTTTAACCAATCAAACAATTTCCATTTGTCCTTGAAAAAAAAAGTTTAGGCTATACCTTAAAAAACCGAGACTAGTTTTTGGGGGCTACTTTTGGTTCGCTAGTACCTTTAATTAATGGATATCCAATAACCAGACTTCTTGAAAAACAATGTTTCACATTAACTTAAGATGGTTTAAACATTTAACATGAATTTGTAATCTTTAACCAATCAAATCATCTCCATTTGTCGTTAAAAAAAATGTTAGGCCCATCAGCTTTTAAATCCAGGGCATACAAATACTTTTAAATGAATTATGGTACTTTTAGACGGCGCCCTCTTCATTTAGTCTAATAGGCCTACCTCATTATTTGATGACAACATCATAGCCATTATTCCAGATTAGCAGCTTACATGTCGCAACAACAATTGTGTGTGGTTCATAAGTGTACACAGTCAGTGGTAATTTATTGTGAGTTTTCAATTACTGTTCAGTCAACGAAACAAGGAATCCATATGCCAGTGTACCAGGTTACATTGCAACGCTCTACTGGGTGCAGTTGAAAGGGACAGGAATAACAATTGATTCGCATGTATAACACAAAATGATCATTGGCCTAGACGTACGAATATTGTACTCATATGTACTCATATGCGTAGCCTAGACTCGCTACCACAAAATAATTCACTTCTCTTCTTAAGAGTACTTGTTCTTAAGACGAGGAAAACGCGATCAACATGGTTGCGGTTACCAAGACAAAGTTGAAGTTCGTGGTATCGCTGAACGTGAGGCACTCAAAAGCCGGCATTCGGTCTATCTGTAACCGACTGGCCATGGAGCATTTTGACAAGCTCCATTGCAGACCTCAGGATAACGTGCTGTATGTTGGGTGTGGTGCTGGAGAGGAAGCCGTCATTCTAGCGACTCGGGTACAGAATGTCGTCGGTGAGCATTATTGATTCTGTCCAATTTTTCAAATGAATTGTACTCACGACTATGGAGTCAGTTTGGGGATTGCAATTGATACCAAAACTTAAAGGGTAAGTCCCAGTGGAGCGGGCTAAGCTTACCGTATTCAACCCAACACGATGCCACATTCAACTTGCTGCGATCGTTACGAGCCCGGCTCCAATATGAGAACAAACTCCACTTTTAATTTAAAATTGGCGACATTAACAACATGCAGGTATGTAATAGGGGCAGGGTTTTTTTTAATTTTGAGGGACTAAATTTGGGGATGAAAAATGATGACAACGACAAAACGCAACGCGAGATACAGATCATCATAAAGGCGCGCTATCGCACGGCACCAACCGTAAAAGAAAGTTCTCTCAGTAGAATTGAAAGAAGTCAACTTTAAGTTGAAAAGGTCATTTTTGAATGGTTAAAAACACCGATCGAAACTAAAGAGGGGCCCATAAATACAAGCAGCTTGCTAAGCACAGAATTTGGCTATAAAACGTTATGTGCTTAACAAAAAAGGTGACACCTACTAGCCACGATCCTTGCGTCTCCTCGATTCTCGGTTGATTATTTTTGTTCCGAATATTTATTGAAGCAATAATTTTCTGCTAACTGTCTGTCGTTGCCAGACACGGTGATCGAAGCCATGATCTTTGAAATTGTCAAACTTATTACAAATATATATATTTCTAAACAGGATTTGTTTTTACACATCTACTTATCATAACTCCAAAACTTGTGAAAACGATTTACTTCAAAATTGAATTGACTTGACAATAAAAACATACATTCACTCAAAATCTTATTTTGTTGACAATGAAATTAATTAAGAATATTTTACGTGATATACAATTATTGTGAAACATTTATCGTCAAACGTCACTGCTGAATGTTGTCTATTTCGTGAACAATTTAATAAATTGTTCTTTTACTTGAAAATCAAATTTGATCTCACGTCGGTTTAACGTTGGTCTTGATTTACCTAAGATGATGCTGCTTCAGCGCACTGGTATACGCACGACGTATTTTATTTTGAATGTGCAAAAGAGACTTGATGTCGTTTGATCATTGCAATTTTCAAACTTGAAACAAAGATTTCTTCTTAAACGTAATTGTATAATAATCATCTTCATTCTTTCAAATCATATTCTATTTACACCTTAAAATATTTACTAAATATTCAATTATTGTCAGATATTTAAAGTCATATAGCACTGCTGATCTTTCTCCATTGATGTGCAGTTTTACAAAGCGTCACTTCTACTGATTAACTAGTTGAAAAACATTTAATTTGGTCTAACTTCGGTCTATTTATTTATTTATTTATTTATTTATTACATTTATTTACCCAGGGTATGCCCAAACAGTTTGAAACTGGTTTCCATTGGGCCCTGCATACACTTCTAATGACTACACATAATGAACAAATACAATACATTTACACCACGATGAATTAAAATAAAGGCATAGGGGATTACTGCATGATTGTAAAACAACTATTATTAATATTGTACAACATTACAAAGAAACATGTACAGTTTGAAACGACATCGCTAAGGTGATTTAAGTTTACACGAAGAATTTTGACATTTCTTGTGACATCGGTAATATATTTCTCCTTGTGATATCAGTACAATATATTTCTATACAATTCGCTGATTACGGGAGGGGCGAAAAACCCGTGAAAAAACTTTGGGGAGAAAAAAAAGGGAAACTTCCCATCCGGCTCCTTATTATGGCAACCACGGTTTGTTTACTCCGTAAGTCAGCACAGATTTATATCATAAGTCTCATCAGTCAGAATGTGTTCTGTTGAAGTGTGCCATCAGCAAGGGTGTATCGTCCATTGGTCAATCCATGACTGTGTTCAGTTGACCGTTCAAAAAGTGGTGATACTGGTGATTAGTGGTGATTTTGTTCTTTAACTTGCATCCTGCGGTGAAGTAAATAATGATACAGGAGTTTTCATTAGAATCGCCGGCGAAAGCAAGAGTCAAACAATTCATGCAGGGCTTGCCGAAGCTCCCTGTTCCTCATATAGTAAACGACCACATTCAGCCAACTGTTGCTATAAAAGATCAAGTTTGAAATCAACTTAAGAAGTGGGGGCGGCTGTACTCCAGGGATTAAGGAAATGACACTGAAGATGAAAGACGGGATCCAGCATATGAAGACCGTCATGGTTATGATGAACACCGTGGTAGCCGACTTTGTGCTGACTCTCTGCGGAGCGTTCTGACCACCCAAATCAACACTGATCTGATTCTGGGCGGCGATGCGACGTGCCTGCTGTCTCGCAACGTTAAGAATGTACATGTACAGGATGAAAATGGTCACAAGGGAGATTGCAATTGCAGATCCCACAATGGACGTGTAAATGTTGTAGTGTATGGTGAAATTGCATTCACGAGGTGCAGACGGTGATATGACACTCGGTAAAAAGATGCCAAATGCAATTATGCTGAATGTCAATGTCATGCTCCACGTAATAGCGACAGATGTCTTCGCCTTCTTCAAAGTCATCAATGTCGGATAGCGCAGCGAGTGGACGATAGCAACAAAGCGATCCACTGTCATGAGAACAAGTGAAAACATACTTAGTCCACCTAAAGATGATGATGTAACACCCCAGGCGGTGCACAGAAAAGAACCCAACACCCATTTCCTGTTGAAATGTTGTGTTAGGTCCGGGAGCACCCAGAACAGCCCGGTGCAGATATCAGACACGGTGAGTGAAGCCATGAACACCTTGGTCGTTTCTTGGATGCCGCTGGCGCGATGAAGCACCACAAGGCATATCGGGTTGAGAGTCAGAATCAACACGACTGTCAGAGCTGTTAAAACGCAGACGGAAACCTCGTACGCGTCCAGTTGGGGTTTTGGCTCGCCATTCAACAATTCAGTGAAATTAACAGATTGTGGATTCATGTTGGATGGTTTGGTTGTTCAACAATATATTTTTAGATTTTGGTGTAAATTTCCAGAGTTTACACTTTGTAAGTACATGTAGGCCCTACTGTCAGTTGATCTCATCTCAGATCTACTGGCTTACAGGTTGGGTGACGTGGTTTTCACTGCACGTCGTTTTCACGGCTGCAAGTCGCTAGCGCTTGTTGCAATGCCCTAATTGTTGGTCTTTAATAACCGTACTCGCTGTCTACATAATGAAGTGGTTGACATAAAATGTCAGCCCATTTCACTGCCACTATCCCCCTTGATCAATTTCCAGCTCACAAAGTGGCATATTCGCATAGCAATTCAGCTATCACTCTTCCAGGGTTTGCCTTAATTAACTTGGCTAGCCAAGTTGTCGGATCATCAGCTATCAATCTCAATTTCAAGTCAATGTCATTATGTATGGATGACATTCATTATTGATATGGTTGGTCCCCTCTGCACTTAGCCATGAAATATTGCTATTGATAATACCAGCTACATGTATATCGTGGCTGAAAAGTCGACTAAACTTATCCGACGATTGTCACCTAGAGTGTGTTTGATCAGGGTTAGACGATCGAACTTGCGCATTGATATGGAGCTCTCAAGTGTGGTCAAACACTGCCCTCTACCGATAATGCACAGAGTCCATTAAGTACTGTATTCTCCTGTTAATAAAATAGTGGTTTACAGGGAAATGCAAGGGGAGGAATCACAGACGAAATACTTGGAGAAAGATACTTTAAATACGACTTGATCTTTTCACTTTTCACACTTGATATACACATTTATTTCTAAACATCACTTTTGTATACTCATCTACTTTCACATCATCACTTGGAAAATATTGATTAAAAGCTTTATCTCTTAACTTTACACTCAATATCTACATTCATTGAAATCTTATATTGTGGACAATTAAATGAAAGACATTTTACTTTATTTGCATTCCGAGTGTTTATGTTGTATGACTCGAGTCCAGGACTCAGCACAAGTCTGTCTCAAATCACAATTTCAGTGACTCGGACTCGACTCGAGTCACATCAGCAAAAGACTCGCTCTCAGACTCGGACTCCACCATCATGACTCAGACGACGCAAATGTCTAGTGTCTCACGAGTCACGTACTCTGTCTAAAAAAAAATACCTGTTAGAATGTTACAAGAGTTTTTATTAGAATCCTCGGTGAAAACAAGAAGCAATCAATTCATGCAGGGTTTGCCGAAGCTCCCTGTTCCTCAGATAGTAAATGACGACATTCAGCCAACTGTTGGTGGCAAAGATCAAGTTTGTAATATAGCTTGAAGTTGGGTATGTTGCAGAGATTGAAAAATTCACAGTATAGATGATAGACGGGATCCAGCATATGAAGACCGTCATGGTTATGATGAACACCGTGGTAGCCGACTTTGTGCTGACTCTCTGCGGAGCGTTCTGATCACCCAATTCAACACTGATCTGATTCTGGGCGGCGATGCGACGTGCCTGCTGTCGCGCAACGTTAAGAATGTACATGTAGAGGATGAAAATGGTCACAAGGGAGATTGCAATCACAGATACCACAATGGTCGCAAAAATTTTAAAGTTGGACCACATGACATAGCATTTAAACGGGGATATGGCATTCGGTAAAAAGATGCCAAATACAATTATGTTGAATGTCAATGTCATGCTCCACGTGATGGCGACAATTATCTTTGCTTTCTTCAAAGTCATCAATGTCGGATAGCGCAGCGAGTAGACGATAGCAAAAAAGCGATCCACCGTCAGGAGAACAAGTGAAAAGACACTCAGTCCACCAAAAGATAATAGTGAAACACCCCAGACAGTGCACAGAAAAGAACCCAACACCCATTTCCTGTTGAAATGTTGTGTTAGCTCTGGGAGCACCCAGAACAGCCCTATGCAGATATCAGACACGGTGAGTGAAGCCATGAACACCTTGGTCGTTTCTTGGATGCCGCTGGCGCGATGAAGCACCACCAGGCATATCGGGTTGAGAGTCAGAATCAACACGACTGTCAGAGCTGATAAAACGCAAACGGAAATCTCGTACGCGTCCAGTTGAGGGTTTGGCTCCCAATACAACAATTCAGTGAAATTAACAGAATCTGGATTCATGTTGGATGGTTTGGTTGTCCAACTATATATTTTGCTGTTTTAGTTAGATGAAATCACAATTAGTGTCGTCAATTATCTGACTGGCTTACAGGTTGTGTGGCTGACTTTTCACTGCCAGCAGTTTCGCTAGCTTCAAGCTTATATCTTTTGTTTACCTTTAGTTAAGAGTGGTTGACATCACCACTTGTTTTCTCTCCCCCCCCCCCCCCCAATCGATTCACTGCTCACTTTTTCCGGGATGCTTATTTATTCACAAAACAACGAACAAAAAGTATCTTGTCCCCATGGCAACTCATCTGACACTCTTCCAGCGTTTTCCTTAATTAACTTGACTGGCCATTTATAAGTTTCCGTTAATCAACATTTTTACCTGAGGACAATCTGCAATTACAGAACGGATATTAAAAAGGTTCCTCTTCATTTGACATGCAACGTCTTCTGTTTTTATTGCTAAATTACAGTCAACTACAAACACTGACCGAATCAACCTCAAAGGCTCCAGTTTTGTTTATTGTGTTTCAATATGAATATATCGTTTTGAGGTTTCTCCTGTTGCTACAACAAACGAAATGCATTTTTTGAATTTTTTTTTTGGGGGGGGGGGGGTGGGGGCGTTGGCTTGCGCAAATTCGGCATGTACTTGCAACCCAACAAAACTGTATTTGTTGTAGCAACGAGGGATCACTCCTATAATGGTCTATCTGAGTTCACCTGTCCACGTGTGTCCTTTTCTTTAATCTCATGTGTTTGACATTTGCAAGTCCCAAAACCGACTTTTGTTCAGATATTTCAGATCTAAACTTCCATATAAATAAAATTATTCGGATCATTGTGATAATATAGCCTTGGTGGCGCCCTAAATTTCTACCGTACGAATGTGTGCAGAGATCAAGTTCCAGTTTATATCATTGTCATTTTCAATATTTTTGCTCGACCCAAGGGATTGCCTTTTACTCTCACAGTCACCGACCGACCGACTGACTGAGCCATTAGCAGCAGCGTATCCAGCTTTTGATGTCGGGGGGGGGGGGGGGGGGCAACCGCACATCCGCGCCGAAATGTAGACATGTTTTTTTCTCCGGACACTTGCCCTCCGTAAAATAAAAAAGCAGGGGGGGGGGGGGGGGGGGGGGGCTGGTACCCATCTTTCAAATGGGGGCGCTCTTCAAAACTTATCATTATTATGTATACTATATTATTATATGGACAATTTCACGGCGCATCGTAATGATTGTTGAGCGAGTTTTCTCTGGTGGGATTGATGGCAGAACTCTTTAAACACTTCAAATCATTGCTGATGAAAACAATTGTCCACTGGATACGCCACTGGTCATTAGACAAGGATCTTTGGGTCACCTCTAGTATGTTGGTGTACAAAGACATGGTGTTTTATATCAATAATTATGCGGTTTAAAGGATGGAGGACCAATCACTGATATGTATGTTTGTCTGAAGAAGAGGGCAGAGGAAATTTTGACAAACTTACAGAAACTGACCATCCTGGTTACTCCATCTAGGTACACTTTCTTCTCAAAGTTGGCCGCAGTCAGCGTCTCAACGAGCACGCCGCCAGCGCCTAGCGGGTCCAACTGCATGGGTTCCCACTCCGACGGGTCGAATTGCATCTCCTGGCCATACTCCGTCCTGCTGGCGTTGCGCAGCTTGTTGGCTTCACTGCCGTCTTCGGTGTTATTCACCCACCAGTTGCCTTCGTAATCCTCCGGCGTCATTTCGTCTTCTTCGACGATACTATCCCCTCCTTTCTCGTGGTCTTCATGATCGTCCACATCTTCGAAGTCTCCCTCTTCCTCCCACTCCCTTTCATCCAACTCCGCCCCTTCCACCTCCTCCTCACCAGAGTCTTCCAGATGTTGGTCTACATCCTCGTCTCCCAGAATTTCCTGCGAGTCTGTGTCCATTTCCCGGTCAACTGAGGCTAAGTGTCGAGGCAATGACCTGGCATGTTTTTCCACAGTTTGTCGATATGGGTCAGCATCACCTTCGACATCCCTTGAATCGACATTGCCTCGCCAGGTGTCATTTCCATGATTTCCCACCTTACCTGTAGAATCAGTTCCAAGCTCCGATGATAATGAAGCCAAATGGAAGACTAACAAGAGGACGAAATAGTACCTTGCCCCAGTCGCCATATTGAATGATTACAAACACAAAAATGATTAACCCTGAACCTAAAACACAGAGAGTACATTGGATGTTTTATCAGATCCATTGTTTAGGAACAATAGGCCCAATGAACAACTGCAGCACGTGTATGTAGTTGTTTGCGACGATAATCTCCACATTGTCGCAAGCAATTGCAAAATGATAACACTCACAGGTGGTGGGATTTTGATTGGACTTTCTCTAATATTGTCCAATTTGTATGTCCATTTATTTTTAATGACGAGAAGATCAGTAAAGCAATGTTTGTAGACCTATCTGTATATATTTTGACGCATAAAAGGGTACACAGATGAAGTCCATTTGAATTGGCTGGGTCTGGTGGCCGTAGTAACGCGTTTTGGGACTTTGGGTGATAACTATAGATTTTACAGCATTTTGTTTCTACGGTATTTTTCGGTTTTTACTGGCTTTTTATTGCCGAACTTAGAGAAATATGAATTGCACGAAAAGGTGTTTATGTACCAGCTAAGGTAGTATGATAAGCAATATCTTGCTTTCCATAGGATGACAATAAAACATTTCTCTCTGATCAAAAACAATGAATGACCGTTTTATGAAGAGCCATCTAAATTTTCAAAAGGGCCACATTTTGGAGATGTGAAAAATCCACATCAGCAAACGTAAAACAAAAAACGTCCAGCAGAAATTATTTGCTTCCTGTAGTCACAGGTGCATCATCTCGATCGAACGTTGTTCCGATTTAGAGATGTGCATTCGCAATCAATTAAAACGACTAAAAACAAATGTGTGACTGGCGCCCTCTAGTGGCAAGTGGCTTGGAGGCAGGAGGAGGGCGCGGGGTGGAGGGATGCCTAGTTTTGGTTCGCTGGTATCTGTATGTATATCCAATTTAAACCAGGATTATTGTAAAACGATGTTTCACATTAACTTAAGATTACACTTTTATGAATTTGTAATCCTTTAACCAATCAAACAATTTCCATTTGTCCTTGAAAAAAATGTTTAGGCTATAGCTTAAAAAACCGAGACAAGTTTTTGGGGCTACTTTTGGTTCGCTAGTACCTTTAATAAATGGATATCCAATAACCAGACTTCTTGTAAAACAATGTTTCACATTAACTTAAGATGGTTTAAACATTTAACATGAATTTGTAATCTTTAACCAATCAAATCATCTCCATTTGTCGGTTAGGGTTAGGGTTAGGGTTAGGAATAGGAATATGTGCAGTCGGAACATAGGGGTGTCGGAACATAGAGGTGTAACCGACACAATAGAAGGGCGCTGTCACAAACTGAATGTGGTGGGCGAGATGTACTTTTAGGATTCATGGCTCAGTGCGCACGCCTCTCTGTGTTTTGTACCGTGCCATCGTATCGCCCGCATCCGTCGGCTACTTTTCTGGGCAATTTACTTGAATATTTTAGTGATTAACAAGTACGACATATTGCCAATATATTAATAGTTTATTGTGATGGCCGTAAACAGCATATAGCGCTTAATGGAACACAATTCTTCTCGACTCATGCAAATGCAATTGACATTTAGGAAGGAGACGAGGCAGGCAATTAGACTCTATTTTTGTGTGACCATGGCAGTAGCTCAATTTGTGTTTATCACAGATGACATGGCGAGTCAAAAAGAAAGTGACCGTATGATAAAAAAAAAATGGCACGCGTCATGCATTTTGTAAAAAAATATAATTGGGATAAAGAACATGTTATTGAGTAGTAACTGTGAACATTTCACGTAATTTGCATACTCTATTCCCAAGTCGTGTCTATTTTAATAAAGAGATCACATAATTCAGCTGTCCACCACTAATACCAATTTAACGGTCTACGAATTGATGAATATCCATTAACAAATAATAAAAAAAAAACGTTTTCCCGCCTCCACGAATAAAGGAAAAATTGAAAAGGAAAATAGAAAAAAAATCACCAATATTTCTAGGGAAAAAGAGTTGAATTGTTCCCCATATTCAAAATACAAAATCTGACAGTAAAAATAATGTTTCAGTCTTGATTCAGAAGATTTAAATCTCAGTTGTATTTGGAATCAATGAGGATGGCTATAAAGTGCTTGTTTCAACAGACCATCCCACAATAAAAACGAGAAATAAGAAGAGGAGCAATGGTTATTGGACTATGCCTCACTCACTAGAAAGTGAAAAGAGACATGTCCATTAGCATCACACTGCAGTCACATCTGCCCTAAACTGATTCTTTACTTAACCCTAAAAGGGCCGGTTCGGAATCCGCCCCTCACTTTTTGGCTGGTCTCGACTCGAGACCAGTCAAAATATCGAGACCAAAGGGGACCGAGACCGAGACCAAGACTGAGACCACAGCTCCCGAGACCGAGACCGAGACCGAGACCGAGACCGGCAAAAAGTGGTCTCGAGACCGAGACCGAGACCGGTCTCGAGACCTACAACACTGGTCTCTATTGCACAAAAGAACTAAAACAATAGGGCCTAATTAACATAATAATAAAATACCCTTAATGGTTTATTGCACAATGGATATTAATGATTTTTGAACAATGGGTATCCCTTAAATGCTTATTGCACAATGGCATCCCTTAAATGTTTATTGCATAATGGCATCCCTTAAATGTTTATTGCACAAAGGGTATCCCTTAAATGATTATTGCACAATGGCCATCCCTTAAATGTTTATTGCACAATGGCTATCCCTTAAATGATTATTGCACACTGGCTATCCCTTAAATGATTATAGCACAAAGCCTTACATCGTGTAGCGCAGAACGATGATGGAAATATTAAACAATTTCGAGTCCGTAGTATACGATTAATTATGGCTTCACCAACGGAGCGTCAGCTCGGTCAATTAGC